CGGTTGGGGCAGCAAGCCCTGCGCCGGGCTGGCTCATCACAGACCCAATAAGCTCGTGAACTTGTTTGTCCTGGTTTTTCTTCTCAGATCAATGAAAAAAATATTAATAAAACTGGAGTGCTAAAATTAAGTTTAGCAAAATACACAGTATAAAATTGTATTAGCAAGATTGTATTGAGTGAGAGAAAAATACAGAGTTTAATTCTGTTTTTCTCTTTGGTCTTTTAGGCACCGAGGACTGTGAGGAGAAGCTGCTCTGACAGCCCCAGCTTTTATGTGCAGAAGGCATCAGGGTTGTCACGGTATAATTCGCTTCAAGAGGAGAAGCATGCTTTGTAACTCACATCAGTGGAGGAGCATTGCTGCTTTGAGAAGGGCACGACTGCATCATGGCTGCCACTAGCCATTCATTTCTGTCACAGCAGCAGGTTGTGCACTTGCCACATTCAGTTTTACCAGATCAAGTATTCCTTCTGTCTGTTGTCCGGTTATTAAAAACATGGTACTCCAGTCATCATTAAAGAACTGCCTTCAGCTATCCTGCATCCTCAGGACTCCAAAAGCTGGCTTCAGAAGCACAACTAGTGGAAGCCTCATTATCCAGTCTATTTCTAATGATGTTTACCAAAATCTAGCTGTGGAAGACTGGATCCATGACCACATGAATTTAGAGAACCGACAGGTTCTTTTCCTTTGGAGAAATTCCCCTGCTGTGGTAATAGGGAGACATCAGAATCCCTGGCAGGAATGTAACCTCAAGCTAATGAGGCAAAAAAATATAAAACTAGCCAGGAGAAGAAGTGGAGGAGGGACAGTTTACCATGACTTAGGCAATATCAATTTGACTTTCTTTACAACAAGAAAAAAATATGAACGAATGGAAAACTTGAAGCTAGTTGTGAAGGCACTGAAAGCCTTGCGCCCCCAGTTAGATGTACATGTCACTGACAGATACGACATCTTGCTAGACCGGCAATACAAAATCTCAGGTACTGCTGCAAAGCTGGGAAGGACAACTGCTTATCACCACTGTACCTTACTCTGTAACGCAGATAAGTTTGTTTTATCTTCTGTGCTAAAAAGTCCTTATAAAGGGCTAAAAAGCAATGCCACTCCTAGTGTGCCTGCCTCAGTGAAAAATCTCTTTGAAGAGGATCCTAGTTTAACTTGGAAGATGCTCCTGGATGCCATTGCTGAAGAATATGCTACGCAACACCAAATAGATCATCATATCACCTTAATAAATCCAGCTGATGAGACAGCGCTTCCTGGAATTAATAATAAAGCTAAAGAACTACAAAGCTGGGAATGGGTGTATGGAAAGACACCAAAGTTCAGCGTTAGCACTTGTTTTAACATGGTGCATAAAGATTCTGTTCTTGACGTTAAAGTAGATATGGATGTAAAGCATGGAAGGATTGAAGTCTGTCACATTAATCTGCCGGAGCAGTGGCTGCCCCCAGCACTGTGCAGCGAACTGGTGAAGAGCCTTACGGGCAGTAAGTTTTGCCCAAATGAAACCACTACACTAGCCACAACATTACTAAGAGTGTGTCCACAAGATGATGAGCTGCACAGCAGGTGGAATCTGCTTTGTGAGAATATGGTGATGTTAATGTGACTTGCATTTTGAAAATCTAAGTTAAACTTCTGCTGCTTTTTAAATTTAATTTATTGAAAACAAAATTAAAACATTAATTTCTACAAGCTGAATTTTTCTCTTATTAGTCATTCAAGCTGTTAGATCTTTTGCTTTTGCTTATTATTACCTACTAGCAATTAGACTTCAGGATGTAGAGACCAACTGTAGGATGTAAACCACTGCAATATGCTGCAGTCCTTATGACTCCTTGCTGACAGACATCATTGCTGCTTAAACCAGGGAACACGGTGGTGGCTTCCCAAACCGGATCTGTAGCAGAGAAGGTGCAAAGGGCTGACACAGACGGGATGGGGTAGGTGGAAGGCTGTCCCTGTGCTGCTGCACTGGATCCCCCAGCCTGCATCCCCCTCCTTGCAGATAGTAGCTCAAAGGCCACGTCTCAGCCCCTGCACTGTAGGCAGAGGGACGTCCCCCTGGTTTCTGGTTGAAGGTCCTTGCAGAGTGCTGGTGACCCTCCACCTCTGCTGTACAAGCTCAGTAGTAAGTTAAGCTCACCGCTGTGTAGTGAATCAGTCCAGCAGTTCCACCTCAGATTAGGGCTTCTGTCCATGCATGTGCAAAAGCAAAGGAAGGATTAGGAAGTTCAGCGTGGGAGTTCATGAAGGCAGAAGAGAACAACTGGGACCGAGGCCATCTGTGCCTCCTTTGTACTTGTACCTGCACTGCCTGGCACAAAGCTGGGAAGCACCGCTGCCATAGGGACTGGTACCTAAATTAAAAGTGGGAATACTTCTGCACATTAGGAAATACACTTGCAAATACAAATCTAGGAGAAACAGGTTCCTTATGTTTCCATCTAGGAGAAAATTGCTAATGAAAGGCAACAGTGAACTGAAATGACAGTTTTCACATTAAGTAAAAATAATAGCTCAGTATAAAGTAACATGAAAGAAAGGCTTAAGCTGTATTTCCTTGTTGTGGCTGAATAAGCAGAATGCAATTTTGATCAGAACAGAAACAGTTTATTGCTGTAGCTGTAGGAGAGAACCCAGCGCAGCAGTGAGAGACTCCACTGATGTGAACTCTGCCCTAATAAGGCAGTTACAGCGTTTATACACCTTTATGTTATACAACTTTTTTTTCACCAAATGGCCCTTGAATAGTACGGTTAGTTAAATTTGAAGTGAGAAGTTCATCAGACAAAAAAGCCATAAATTCACCCTGTCAAGGTGTGAGCACCTCATGGTAAATTCCATTCAGGGCACAATATATGGCACAACCCAATTTACCTAAGAGTCTTTTTTCCCAGAAGGTTAACTGGGACCATATGACTTAAAAGGAAAGCATGGTATCCAGAAATGAGGCAGGTAGTTACAAAGGGCTTGTTACCAGGTGAGATATGGGTTTCCCTGAAATACCAACAGCTTTTACTACTTCTGAAGATAAGGGAACTGCAGGAAAATCAGAGGCATATAAAGTGGATTGAGAAACGCCAGTATCAATTAGGCACAAAACAATCCTGCTGTTAATAGGGCAAGATAAATAAGGACCAGTCTGGCCTGAAGCAAGTAAAGGAGCAATGGTATATATGTCCTGGGGGCTGTCCTAATTGCATTTCCAAGGCTGTGGCATGAAGGAAAAGTTGGGTGTAAAGTTATGGTGACTGAATCCTGCTGCACTTAAAAGACTTACAATTGGGTCTATAAGAACATTCTGACTCCCAGTCTCCTTGTTGTCCATACAGACAACCCTCGGCTGAAGCTCCAGTAGGGATTTCCAAAGGTCCCTCACCTAGTGCCCCTAAGTGCCACCAAGGGGGTTTCAGCAGGGATCAGCCTGCAGTCCTCCCCAGTGAAGCAGGACATGTGAATCCAAGTCACAGCTCCAAATTCTGTCGCAGAATAACTGGAACGCAATTTTGAGCAGTCAAAACAGGAGAGAACACAGCGCAGCAGAGAGAGCCTGTGCTGATAGGATCTCTGCTGAAGTGAAGCAGTTATAGACTTTATTTTCTTCTACATTATACAATTTCTTCTTCAACAAACTGTCAAACAAGTAGGATGTGGTAACAGCAGCAACTGAAATTCTCCAGATAAGGAGGATTTAGACAGTCCAACTAGGAAGCCCCAGGCAGTATATATATCCATTTATGAATACTTCACTCCTTTGCTAATTAAATCATGCAGATGAGACCTTTTGCTGCAGATATTTCTTAACAAGTGAGGCCTGCAAAGGCCTAGGAGGTGTCACTATGTTACTTGCACACCATTGTCTTTAAAAGATGGCTGGTTGACCAGCGCTCCATAGGAGGAAATGACATGGCAGAAGGCACCTACCTTTAGCTAAGGAGAGCAGTCGGTGGGGGTGAGCCCAGCCCTTGGCTAGCACCAGCGGTCACACTGTCGGACTGAATGGCTGCCAGCGGACTCCAGCAGGGAAGGTGGCTTAAGCTCATCTCACCAGATGATGCCAGGAGGGACAGTCCTGGCTGCACAGTCCAGGTGATGACCAGACAATGTAAGTGCAAGTGGCAGCACAGAAGAACACGGCCTTGAGTCAGTAAAATTATTGTGGAATTGTATTCTTAGATTATTCTGATTTTTTAATTATTTTTTTTATATTCACTGATGCCCACTGCTCTTCATACGTCGTGTTCCTACCAACAGTGAAAGGAACTATTGAGAAATAAAGTGCTTATAGGTAAAAACTGCAGTGTAACACCAACTGGTATGTCATGTCACCGAAGGCTTAGTTGTACATATGTACAGATATTGCATATGCATGAGATCTGCAAGGAAAGCCAAAGTCTTAGCTACTGAATTATAGTCTAATCAGAAAACAGACAAAAAATTCTAGCAAAAAAAACAGGCAAGAGTGGAAAGACCATGCTTGCTTCTTGTGGTACTTGTAGAAAACCACATCATAGGGGCTTACTAGAACAGAGAGGCATATTGCATTACAAGATAGATAAGAAAGCATAAAGATTTTTCTTTTGATTTCCAATTAAGTACTAAAATGTAAAGTTGATCATTTAAGTAATATTTAAGGTGGCTTTTTATTTTGCCCCTGTATGTTTGAAATTGCAGAACTAGGTTAAAAGATAAAGCTTCACATTTGGGAAGCTCAATGTATTTACAGTGAACCTTCTCCTAAGAATGGCTGATGTTTAAGGCACTATCCAGCTTCCTTGAATTACCCTATGTAGTGCAGAGAATAATTCAAACAGATTACTAGAACTACAAATAATAAAAAATAACCTTTATTCCCATTAAAAATAGACATATTGTACACAATTGAATAAAACTGATGATAGTGACCAGAAACCTAGTATCACAGCAGCAAGCCAGGGAGCTTCTATGGAATGTCTTGGGGGGGACTGACTGGTAGGATACAGCTTCCTTGGCACATATGTTACTCTTTTTGCTGATGTAACATTGAAGAGCCGAGACATTATTATGCAAAAGTATGAAGAAGGCTGACCACTGGCAAACTGGGACCCAGAGAACAAGGCAAAGACCAGCTCTGTTTCTTCTTGATAGCTGTGGAATAGATTTGTTGTGTTAGAAGTAAGACTAAAAGAATAGCATCATTAGATGAGATGTGAAGGAAGAATAAAGTAATAATAAAAAAAGGATAATGGAATATACCAGCCATCAGGAAAAAGAAACATAGGAAGAAGTTCTAGCAACGAACACGCTATTAGAATATGGAGGCATACTGCGTTACAAGATGCAGAATGCATAAGGCACCTATCAGTCTTGAGGCTGAAAAGATTTTGAGGGGACCTGCAAAAGAGGCCACTGCCTGTTCTTCATGTCAGAATGTATGACTGCTGAATTCTGGCTGACAATGATCAAGAACTCTGGTATTGGGAGAAAAAGAAGCAGCACCTCAGGGTGATACCTTCTACTTTCCAGAGGGTGAAGGGAAGACTAGAAAAGAATTTGGCTTTTTTCCAAGTAGCATATTCCTTAGAATCATTATTAATGAGAAAGTTTCAGGGTATCCAACTTTTGGAAGAATTTAAAAATCAATTGTTATTTTTTAGGGGACTTAGTAACAGGGAAATAGCTTACTGCAGTTCAGACTGGCAT